ATATATATATATATATAAAATACATGATATTACACGCCACATTGCGGCGAATCACAGGCTACTTTCTAACTGATAACTAGACGAAGGAAAAATTCCTGCTCGAACGGACTGGCATGACTTACCAGTTAGACTATAATAAGTCGCTATTTCATTTCGTGGACGGACGGAAAAATCTCGCAGAATGGGCATTACGCGCCATAACGGCGAAACACAACTACGGCGCACGGCACGATTTTCATCGAGATATAAATCATTCGGCGTAGTCGGAATGGTATTTCTGTCGGTACGATGTATTAACAGACGGCGATACGTTTGGAAAACGCCGTTCTGACTTCGACATCCACCAGACCGATCAGACGAAGCAGGAATTCGTAGTCGAATGCACGCCCGTTACGTCACTCGTCGTATAACACGTAACGATTCCGATGGAAAAAAAAAAAGATTAACGAGCGTAGCCCTTCTACGCGTTATGCTTTGATGCAATTTCGTAGGATTCGAAATGTAAGCAATTGTAGATCAGAATACGTTAGAGTCATTCACGTAATCATGGAATAAATCACAGTGAAACAATCCAAACAGGTTTACGGCATCGAAAATAAATAAGAAATGCAGATAATTGCGATAAATTGAAAAAATAGCTGGCTTTAGATTTAAAATAGCTGGCTTTAGATATTTTTAAATATTTTTTAAAATTAAAAATTCTGCCAATAAAAATTAAACCAAATATATTATGTTTGCGTAAATAATATCAAACAAAGAATAGAATTTTATTTATATTCTATCTATCAAAATTTTATTCTTGATTTTACTGAAAATTATTTTAATTCCATTGAATTATTTATCATCCTTTATTAAATTGTGCTTTTTTAATTTTTTTTTCCGAGCGACGTTTTTAACATCAAAAAAATTTCTCGCAGTTAATTTCTGCGAGAAGACACAGTGAAACTATTACAACGAAAGAAAACGGTTTGCAAAAGAAGTCTATCAAAATAGTTTCGCTTGAGTGCAAAAAGAAAATGTCGATGCTACCGCGCAGAGAATACAAAGTTGCATTCCAGCAATAATCGTGCTGAACTTCTTGTCGCAATTATGAGAAATTGACACTTTCTTTAATAAAGATCATAATTTAGAACATAGATCTGTGGATATATAGCTTTCATATCAATTATAAAGTAAAATACATTTTATATTTAAAATACACTTAATTTAAAAATAACATAATTTCGTATAATTTGTTTTGAGAAAAAATATTTAAAATTTAAATTAACAGATAATTGCAAACTCATTATTTCGGAATATCACACAGTCAAAACTAATATAATATTAGCGGAAAGCGTGCAATGATTCTAAATCTTCCATATGATATTAAGTGGAATGTTATCGTATGATTCTTTATCATACATTTATCCAAACAAGCACACATAACGATCAACCGGTGTAAAGAATGAAATATTAGCCGTCACATTTGAAAAATCTCGCAAGATAAATCTTGAGCAGCGGCCGGCTGATCTTTACTAATAGCACATTCTATTACGGCATACTGTTGTTAAGACGTGACTACAATGCGCGAAGTGGATTTTTCTTTTTCTCTTCAACGCAGATTAAAGAATTCTGTCAAAGAAGCCGATCTGATCGTTGTGCAATGGTAGATTGTTATCCATTGACTAAAAAGACATAATTGAAAACAATTACTATTCTTACAAATTAACTTTTTGGAAGAAACACTATTTTTGGTCTTCAAGCATGATCAACTAAGATCTCTAAATTACAAAAAACCATCAAAGTTTTTGTTAATTACTTTTACTTCAAATTTTATAAATTTTTATGCAACACATTGTATCTGTTATTTATAATATCTCATAAAAGCTACATAACTATTTAAATAAAATATTTGAAAAAATTATCTAAACCGTAAAATCACGACTATTTTCTAAAGACATCAAATTGCTCCGTACATAACAAAACAATACATAATTAATTTTTTTATACAAATAGATGTTAAAAGAATTTGATCGTGCATGATATACTCAGGTATGCCGAAGAACACACATTATTATGCAAAAATTAATGCAAGGAATAAATAAAAATTATAGTATTTAAGGTTTGCGAAAATTTAAAAATTCTGCAAATAAGCATGGATTATTTGTACCCTGAAGAAGATATGAGGCTTTCTTTAATTACGATCAAGATCTATGTATCTCTCTAAATGAGAATGCTATTTATCCTAGTGCAAGAATGTCGGAACTTTATCAAACTTTCACGTTTCCTATTCAAGTGTGCTTATTAAGTCTGACCTCCCATCTAACGATCGAAAAACTCAGCTTTCTATTTTAATCAAAAATAATTTCTGCTTCACAGACCATAATGTTCCGTGATTTTCTAGGCTACGACCGATCATCTATTAATGCATGAATATTGTGCGACTACAACCCGCATTTGCAAAGGCTCCCATTAAATCGGAGATATTCTAAAAGTAATCAAGTTGTCATTCTCGATCTCGATATATACGTGACTTTCCATGTATCGATGAAAATTGTATTGAACGCGATTGTTATACGGATAACGAGCTCGAACGTCGACTGTTTTCTATTTTTTCTACACCGCATGCTCAAGCGACTGATTGATGGCCGAATAGAAATGGAAAGAGCGTTCTTAATGATACGGTTGCGGCATTGCTTGTAACGACGAAATAATGATATAGATATCATACGAAATTTGCGAGCAACAAGAAACTGTTTGCAATGTTGTTGTGTATTATTAATCATTTTGCAACTTGGAAGTTTGCCGTATGATAAACATAAAAATAAATATCTAAATACAAGTCTTGTTTAACGTTTCGTTGCTTTCTTCTAAAACTTTTCACTGTAATTGAACCAATTTGTCTATAAAGCGACTAACTTTATAAATAGCTTTATTGAATAAAAACTAAAATGTTAAAAATAATATCTTTTTAATAAACATCTTCGATCATTTCCTTCTATCGCCTTTAATTTAAATAATTACTGTTTTTATGAAATATTGCACATTTTCATCGAAATGTCATATATTTGTTGCAGCTCAATCGACAGTGACTGATCAGGCAACATCAGCTTCATTCTGGAATCCCACCCTCAAAACTGATACTATCTTCTCTCAGGATACCAGCGCAACGTTCTTCCCTACAGCCCACGGTTTGGTGCAAACTCATCCGACCAACAATGTGTTCCGCAGCGGTTTCGGCGGTATCGATAACCTCGGTAGTCGAGGAGTGACGATAAGACCGCCGAGGACGAGGCCTCTCGATTATAATGAGCGCGCTACCGCTGAATTACGCCGTAATCCATCGCTCTCATCGCCCGATGAGTGTGCTCGTGCCTGCCGTGAGAACGAGCCGCCCAGAATATGCTACTACCACTTCACGCTCGAGTATTACACCGTGCTCGGAGCGTAAGTGCATGTGAACGCTTATGTCTTGCAATAATTCAAAATAAAATATATTAATCCATTAATAATGTTGAAAATCACACTATTGTTTTTTTTTAGTTTACAAAGTAATATGAACGATTCTTAGAAAAATATTTTCTGTCTTTAAAATATAAAATATTCTGTTTTCAATATTTTTATTATTTTTGACAAAAAATAGCTGAAGTTACTGTTATATTTGTATAGAATTTCAATCTTTTCGGGAGACACTGATTGTCTTCAAAATCTTTCTTGGTAGAAGAATACTTGATAAAGAAGATAAAATCTTTCTTGGTATTTTGGTATCTTGATAAAGATACAAGCTCGTGATAAACTTTCAGAGCGTGTCAAGTATGTACACCAAATGCAACCAACACCGTGTGGAGCGAGTGCCAGTGTGTTCTTGCGGACGGAGTGGAGCGCGGTATTCTAACCGCAAACAGAATGATTCCTGGACCGAGCATACAGGTGTGCCAGGGTGACAAAGTCGTTGTTGACGTAGAGAATCACATAGAAGGAATGGAAGTCACACTGCACTGGCACGGCGTATGGCAGAGAGGATCGCAGTATTATGATGGTGTGCCTTACGTGACGCAGTGTCCCATTCAAGAGGGTAACACGTTCAGGTATGCGTAGGATTTGATTTCTAATATGACTAAAATTTACACCTCTATAGATAGAAATTCTGTAATTTTTAATCTTGTAATCAATACGAAGCTTTTTTAACGAAGAAATAAAAACATTTAAACGATTAAACGAATAAAAGAGATTTTCTTTTTTAAAGCATTTTAAATCTTTGTTTCCTAATTTTTTAATTTTCTCAAATTTCTTTATAAAATAATTTTTTCGAACTCGCATTTTTTAGCTGTAGTATTTCGTATACAATAAATTAATCAAATAAATTAATATATTGTAAAATTTATTCAACAGTTTTATAGACATAAAATCTTGTATGATTTATGAAGGTATCAATGGACAGCTGGCAATGAAGGTACACACTTCTGGCATGCTCACACCGGCATGCAAAAGATGGATGGTCTCTACGGAAGCATAGTGATCCGACAGCCACCGAGCAGGGATCCTAATAGCAATCTGTACGATTACGATTTAACCACCCATGTAATACTCATCAGCGACTGGTTCCACGAGAGCGCTGCCGAACGTTTTCCAGGTCGTCTTGCAGTCAATACCGGTCAAGCACCTGAAAGCGTGCTAATTAATGGGAAAGGACAATTTAGGGTATGTTACTCATGTATCAATTAATACATTGCGGATATGTACGAATAAAAAAAACTTCATACTTTCTTGCAAAGTTTATAAAATTTAAATAATTTTCAGAATTTTTTTAAATTAAAAAATAGACTTAAAAATATTTAATTTTTAATATTTTTATTATTTTTAGCTGAGAATAGCTAAACTTAAGTTATTATTTATATGGTTTATGATTGCGAAGAAACAGTGTAATCATAGGATCAATATTTTATTTTTTACATTTTTTAACATATTTTTTCATTATAGGATCCTAATACCGGTTTTATGACAAACACACCTCTTGAAGTATTCACAATAACTCCAGGCCGTCGTTACCGATTCCGATTAATAAATTCATATGGATCAGTATGTCCGGCTCAAATTACGGTCGAAGGTCACACTCTCACCGTTATCGCTACCGATGGTGAAGCTGTACAGCCAGCACAAGTGAACACTATAATCTCATTCTCAGGTAAAGAATTTTAAATTTTTCTTTACTACTTAGAATTTTGAAATGTGCATTTTATTCATTTTTATGCTTCAAAATCTTATATTATATCATTTAGTAGATCTAGAACTTTACTATGATGTATTGAAATCTTATATTCTAGAATTCTAGATCACATTTTTTTGTTTAAAATATAAGACTTTAATGCATTGCAATAAATGAACTTACATTCTAAAATTCTGACCTAACAAATGTTATGTATAAGATTCTATTTATTTTATTTATTTTTATGCCTTAGAATCTTATATCACATCGATATAATATAAGATTCTAAGGCATAAAAACAAATAAAATATACATTTTAACATTCTAGACCATTTCTTTGTTTAAAATATAAAGTTTTAATGCACCACAATAAGGAAAATGTCATTCTGAAGTTCTAACCTATCAAATGTCATATAAGATTCTATTTATTTTTTTCATTTTTATGCTTTAGAATCTTATATCATATCATTTAGCAGGCTTAAAACTTTATTACCATGAATTGAAAATTCCTATTTTAGAGTTCTAGACCATTTTTTTCTTTAAAATATAACATTTCAATGCAAGGAAATGTACATTCTAAAGTTATAACCTATAAAATGTTATGATATAAGATTTTATTTATTTCATTCATTTTTATACCGTAGAATCTTATATCATATTGTTTGACAAGCTTAGAACTTTATTACAATCCACTGAAATTTCATATTTTAGAATTCTAAACCATTTTTTTGTTTAAAATATAATATTTCAATGCGATGAAATGTATATGCTAAAGTTCTAACCTATAAAATGTCATGATATAAGATTTTATTTATTTCATTCATTTTTATACCGTAGAATCTTATATCATATTATTTGACAAGCTTAGAACTTTATTACGATACATTGAAATTTCATATTTTAAAGTTCTAGACCATTGTTTGTTTAAAATATAATATTTCAATGCAAGGAAATGTACATTCTAAAGTTCTAACCTATAAAATGTCATGATATAAGATTTTATTAATTTTATTTATTTTTATACCATAGAATCTTATATCATATTATTTGACAGCCTTAGAACTTTATTACGATGCATTGAAATTTCATATTTTAGAATTCTAAACTATTTTTTGGTTTAAAATATAATATTTCAATGCAAGGAAATGTATATTTTAAAATTTTAATCTATAAAATGTCATGATATAAGATTTTATTTATTTCATGCATTTTCATGCTGTAGAATTTTATATCATATTATTTGACAAGTTTAGAACTTTATTACAATACATTGAAATTTCATATTTTATAGTTCTAGATCATTTTTTTCTTTAAATATAATATTTCAATGCAAGGAAATGTATATTCTAAAATTTTAACCTATAAAATGTCATGATATAAGATTTTATTTATTTCATGCATTTTCATGCTGTAGAATTTTATATCATATTATTTGGCAAGCTTAGAACTTTATTACAATACATTGAAATTTCATATTTTATAGTTCTAGATTATTTTTTTCTTTAAATATAATATTTCAATGCAAGGAAGTGTATATTATAAAGTTGTTGTAACCTGCTAAAGGTCATGATATAAGATTCTATTTATTTTATTTGTATATCTTAGAATCTTATATTACATCAATACATAAGATTTTAAGGCATAAAAATGAATAAAATGTATATTTTAACATTCTATGGAATAATATTTTGATATACATTTAAAAAAATGATTTTTTTGTCCTAAAGCTAGTGTTATTAACAGTTTTATACTTCCACAATAGGTGAACGTTATGATTTCGTTATAAATGCCGATCAGCCTCTCGGCGCTTATTGGATTCAACTTCGTTCGCTCGGAGAGTGTGGTATTCCGCGATCCCAACAACTTGCTATTCTGCGATACGCACGTGGTCCTTATCAGCCTACTACTACACCACCAACGTATGACTTTGGTCTTCCACAAGGCGTTGTAAGTGTATATCCACTTTTCATATCAAAGATTACTGATTTATGCATTTGTATAAGTACAAGTTGGTTGCAATAATATTGAAAGGCAAAATTAAAACTTTCGTGTCTATAAAGCTTTGGATCTTGTAAAATTTAATTTTACAATTAATATATCGCATTGTTATCTATATTTTATATGTAATTGAATGTTACAGATAAAAGAAAATACACTTAAAAAACTAAAAAATTTTTTTTATTTATTATTTATACTTTAATGAAATATTAGATATAGATTTTAATATAATTCGTTCATCAATTACAAAATGTAACAGCAAAAAAGATTTGGATGTTATCTTCAAGCGATACAAGAGAAACTCTCTCAATCCTTGATAGTTATGGAAGGAAAGATGCGGTTTGACACTCGGAAACATCACACTGCAGGAGAAGAAATTCTCCTGATAAATCTTTTCGATCTAATCTTTTCAGGCCCTAATTTTTTTTTATTGAAAAAATAAAAAATGCTAAATATTATAAACTAAATCTTGGAACATAAGATCTTTAAAAGAATTATTAAATAAAGAATCTGTTTTTATAGAAAAGTAAATAAAAAATATTTATTATAGATATAAGAGAAATGATTGAAAAATAATATTTTAGACTGTTAAGCTTAAAAATGTTTTTCAAAGTAACAGTAATTTTACTTCGTCGTCGTGCATTGAGGAAAATACGAGAAAACAAATGTTCAAATATCTCCTTTTCAGGTTCTGAATCCCTTGGATGCCATTTGCAACCGACCGCGCGAAGATGCGATTTGCGTGAGCCAACTGAAGAACGCCCGCCGCATTGATAAGGGTATCCTCCAGCAACGCCCCGATGTGAAGATCTTCCTGCCGTTCCGCTTCCTGTTTTACAGACCGGAGGAGGTCTTCCAGCCGCAGACCTACAATCGCTTCCTCGGTAAGAACGCGCTAATAAGCATAATAGCCGGTTTAATCCGCAGAAAAGAAGCAAACGCATCGCGCGATGATTGCGCTTGATTTTTGTCTGCATAGACACGGCATTTCTCGGGTATCCTTAGAAAGGTATGTTTATAAAGAGATGCAATCGAGGCGCGCCTTGCGTGCAACATCTTTAGCGAAGGTGTAGTGATGCTGAAAACTCAGAGAATTACGCGAGGTAACTCGCGAGATATATATGCAGGTGATGCTTTTTCTTCGAGACAATTAGACTTGATAATATAGAAAGCGCAAAACCGGTTCACGCGTAAAAACACACAAGGTATTTCTGAAATTACAATCGCATCTTTCTCTCAAGCGTTTTTTTATTAATTTAATGTTTCTTTAACGAAAATTTGATATCGCAATTAATTTATCGCAATTTCCAAGCTCGTTCGCTTAAGGATTGAAGGCCCTTATTACGAGAGTTAATAGCGATTTATTTTACAATCCCGATATGCAGTTGCGCCGACCGGCGACCACGTGATTTCTCTCGTCGACGAGATCTCGTTTACGTTCCCGCCGGCGCCTCCACTCTCGCAGATCGATGACATCCCGCCTGAACAATTCTGCAACGGTGATAACAGACCGGCTGATTGCGGCGCCAACTGTATGTGCACGCATCAAGTCGACATACCGCATAATGCGGTCGTCGAGGTGGTTCTCGTAGACGAAGGTATGTGTCTCTCGTTTGCTTCCGTTATGACAGCTGTGCTCGCTTTACACAAGATGTTGAAACCGAAAAATACATTTCAGAGAAATTGCGCACAAAAAACGAAAGTAAAAATTTTTAATCATATTTCTGGTTCTACTGTTTTTTAATCTTTATAATAATATATTATATTGTATATAATAATATAGTATGTTTAAAAAGGAATGCACTTCAGGCGCGCGTTGCGTGCAACATATTTAGTAAAGCTGAAGCGATGCTGAAAACTTCATATAATTATTGTATACAATATAAAAAAAAGTATATCTTGTAAAATTAAACTTTTAATTCCTTCGTGTACGGTCAATTGCAGTACAACAACCGAACCTGTCGCATCCCTTCCATTTGCACGGATACGCCTTCAACATAGTCGGTATCGGTCGTTCTCCCGATAAGAATGTGAAGAAGATCAATTTGAAGCATGCTCTCGATCTCGATAAGCGAGGTCTCCTACACAGACAGTTCAACCTGCCACCCGCTAAAGATACTATCGCCGTTCCCAACAACGGTTATGTCATCTTCCGCTTCCGCGCGGATAATCCCGGTAAGTTAACAACGACAATTGAAAACTTTTCGCGCAGCAATGTCTGATGAGATGCAAACTGCCTCCCGTTCGCGTAATTGCGAAAGTTAGCGCGGCAAATTTGCATACACCGACTATTGTGTCCGACTTTATAAAGTATCTCAGTTGACTCTTCGTATCAATTGCACGTTTCTTGGCGATCTTGGAGTTCATTTTTTTATGAACGCTTGGCTAACAAAAGTTAATTAGCGGCTTGTTTCTGCTAAACACAAATTGGCCACATATTAATTAAGCTCGTAATATGTGACATAAATTACGTAGTACATTGTACAAGATTAAAACTTGAAAGTGAAATTATTGTTAATAGAAAATTTAAATAATTATATTAAACATAATAGGATTAATCATTGCAATTATAATATTAAAAATATTTCCAATGACAAAATTAATAGCTAGCGCTTTAATTTAATTTAATAATCACAATAATGCCATACCAAAAATAACACATACTGTGTCTCTCTTTTTACAGGATACTGGCTGTTCCATTGCCATTTCTTGTTCCACATATTGATCGGTATGAATCTAATCCTGCACGTGGGGACGCACGCGGATCTGCCACCGATACCACCAAACTTCCCGACCTGCGGTGATCATTTGCCGCCCATTACGCCACCGCTGTCACTGAATCCGTTCCACTGATTGCACGATCGCGAGCAACAAACTCAGACACTGAGGGATGCTCCAAAGTCCATATGATGTAGCATATTCCTGTAAAGTAGCGCGAGTATGTAATAATTTTCTTTTTTTCAACTACGCAACCTCGCCGGCCGTTTTCGGCGCGGAACGGCGATCGATCAGGCGAGGAATCTGGATGTCGACCCGTTGCCTTACAAAATCGGCTAGGAAGCGAGAACGACGGCGGAGGTAAATTAGATTCCGAGGAGGCTCGCGAGACAACGGGTTGACGAAGAAGCGTCGCGAAACGGCGGAACGTTCTCAGCGGCGATAATGACTCTACGTTGGCGGCAGTCTATAATTTATTGTGTTCCAGACGCTTCACCCATCACACTGTCGTTTATACTGCATGTCATCTCTTGTTGTGCTTTCTCATCGTGAAACCTGCACGAGGCAGATTCACATTTCATTGCTGTATAATTCAGACATATACTTTATACTTTGTTTTGCTGTAAAATGTAATATCGTGGAACATTTCCGGAATATATTCTAGCAATATTCTAGAATAATTCTAGAATATATTTACCGGATCTTTTTTTTTTTAACGCTGTAACGCCTACGATCATCAAGAATTGCAAATTTTGATGTGGTGAGTGAAGCATCTCAGATGAAAACGTACAAATGTTACTAACGTTTGTAACGCTCTGTAAATAATGTAGAAATAGTCACTACATTTAACGAGATATTAATGTGGGAGCAATGGGGTAAATAATGTAAGAGAAAAATCGCCGAAAAACTTTGCATCTTGACGGCGATCCGAGCGGTGAATTATTATTAGAATAACATTCTTCCAGCAGACTGGATCTGTACGATCACCGAATCCGCGATTTTCGAAATTATTTGGGGATTCTTCTATATCAGCTGATATCCAAAAAGAATATAGATACACTTGTACGAAGATAAAAATAATCTTTCAATATAAAAATATAATATTTATTTAAATTAGTCACATTTAATTTTCCATTAACCATGTTTTCAACTCTAAATATTCTTTTATCTATCATTTTAATCATGTCTACGTCTTTTTCATCAAATGTTTCATTTTATTCTCTTTGTCTTTGACTTTGTCTTTGACTTTGTCTTTGTCTCTGAGGTCGAAGGAGATATGTTAATAAATTGGGGAAAGCACGCGATGATCATTAGCGGTAGCGAGAAATTTTCCTCAACAGATCCAGACTTCTGAAACAACCTTTTAGCTAGAGAGTAAATTCGCGCTGCGAGCAGTTTGAGTTCGCGCATTTCAATTTTGCTCTGTCAGCCAAAAATTACACTAAATCGATAAAAGCGCTGGGAATAAAATTAGCGCGGTTACTGAAATTTTAACAACCCGATATCGCAACGATGTCGAAATGGCGACCGTTGTTAAGTATGACTATCATTCTTCTTGTGACTCACCATCAACACGCATTAATACATTAACACGCTATTTATTTTCTCTCTTCTGATTTGCATTAACTTTCGCATCTAGCGCCCGCTTTAAATTGATATATCAAAGGCACTCTAATGCAGGCTGACATATTACCGTGTACCGCCCTAATACATAGCTGTACGTTTATTCATGGTGCCTCCATTTTTTATGTAAAATACTCTACGTAACTCACGTATACGCAACTCACAATTAACTCTTAAATCATCCGGATGTACACATAAATACACTTACAGAGATCAATATACTGATACACATTATACATAGATACAAAGAGATCAAATCATACACGCACACACATTGTGCCTTATTCCTGTAGATACATTCCTGTTTATTTCGCTGAGGATACTCATCGGAATATATATTCATCGAAACACGAAACACTCAGTAGCATAATCGTGAAACAATCTGCTAGCGAATTTAATTCGATGGCTTGATACGAAAGAAATACAACGCAAAATATTGAATTTTTGCAACTAAAAACTTGCTTTTTTTTTACTTGCAATCTTTTGACATTAAGCCACCGAGTTATGCGGAGCAGTCCGTTAATTGTTATTTTCTCAAGTCGACCGTTCCGTTTTCTCGTTTTAACAAATCGAAACAAATATAATTTAAAAATCGTGCAAACCAATACGATTTCGCGATATGAGAGCGAAGTCGCATTAAGAATGTAACTTTAATACTTACAATTTTCAACGGTCGGCTTCGGAGACAGTGACAGTACGCCGATCTGCTCGAGCAGACACGGATAATGGCTTTGTGGGATAGCAAATACACGCTACTTTTAATACTCTTTTTACCTTTAAGTAAGAATAATTTACAAAAGAGGAGAATGTGCCTGCCGTTTAATTAATTGTAGTACAAGCACGTCAATTCTGCGCTTTCTTGTGAACAAACTTGAAATTCAATGGCTCGACAATGAGGAACGAGAATTATTAATAGAGAACGATTTCATCGACGATTCATTCAGCCATGATTCATTCGCAGGCAATGAGGAGTGCAAAAATTTAAATCGAGCTAATTATCTTCAGTTTGGATCACTATATTTATATTATTGCATTAAATCAAATTGCAACATCAATATAAGGATAAATAATTATAAAAAATAAGAAACTTTAGCTACTTAATAGCTATTATTTAATTGTTAAAACAGTAATTATATTATTCGAAAACATGTCATTCATGTCACATATTCCGATGTCACAATTGACTTGGTTTACATTCACTCCGTCGCATTTTTAGAATATATTAATCGGATTCTTAAGGACAGCTAAACAGCTATATATGCGTAATTAATTTTTGACAGTATTATATATATATCTATCCTACTAGTTAAAAATGTTCTTAAACTATACACTTCAAATATTTTCAGAATCTCGCAAAAGTTGTTTTGTACGTTTAAAGCAGTTTTCTATTATTTTTGTCAAAAATATTTTTTATAAACAGTAACTTTTTGGTGATAAAATCCTGGAATGGTCATTTTGTTTCTTTACATTGACGTAAGTAAATCTAGTTCAGCTATTTAGTTTGAGAATTCTTGATTTATTAAAATGTACTCGTTACAATGCAGAGATTTGATTCTACCGTTATTTTATTAGTTTTACCGACCACTATTAGATTTAATCGAGCAGGTACATCATTGTAAATATTGTAATACTGAAGATTTCCCAGTATTCCTGTAGCTAGTAATATATCAGTTCTCTTCCTCCTCTCCCAACTGTATAATTACTCTTGTAATTAATACCGTATCGGCAGTTACCATTCAAGAAAATGAGTTTTCGTGTTTTATATAAATAGAGTATTTAAGCGAGAGTTATACTCATTTGCGCGTGGACGCATGCACGTTTACTGCTGCGGGCCACTCGATCTTTTATTCTAAAAAATATATTTTTAATAATAAATCGTTTTTAAAAACACTGATCTTTTTATTTACCTTGCCGACATCGACGTTATTACTTCACTTATAGGAAGCTTTATAAATTCATCTCTCAATCTTCATATAAAGGCTCCGGAGTTATTTTGATATAAACGTCATTCAACGTACACTTCGCGCAGTGGATCAAATGAGTATATTTTGCGAAGATGTAATGATTCCCGCATAGTTATAATTTACCTACTTAAACAAGAAGATAAGCTAGAAGGTCACCGAGGTAGTTAGACACGAGAGAAGGAGAAATTTCTCGAAAAATAAAAACGCAAATAAGATGTAGTTCATAATAGGAATTATCGTCATTAGTATTAATGACAGTCATTTGACGGATGCTCATTCAGTACATGTAGGCGGAGCAGCATTATTATCATATTATCGCAGAAATTATAATGCCGATAAAGATACGCATTATGATCGTTTATTATCTCCAGAAAAAAATGGCAAATTGGTTAATCGCCAAGGTAAATTCGTAATTACAGATATATGCACTAATTCAAATAAAATTAAAATAAAAACAATATGGATGGAAATGCAAAAGTTGTGAAAAGTTTTGTAATTCGATTATTATCATTATTAAATAATAAAGACATACAGAAGATACGACGTTCTAGAAAAAAATTGCCAATCGTAACGTTACGATTTCGATTTCCATATTAAAAACACCAGTAACATTTTAATTTCCATTATAATATTTATAACGCAATAATGTTGTGTTATTTCAGATTCGATAACGCAATTTTCCGACCGTTTGTTTATTAAAGGTGTTTGCCGACAGAAATAAAAGCCACATGTTTTAAGATTAATGAATTTATGTACAAAAAGCATTTAACTAATACATATATCTTAATTAGGATCAATATTGCGCAGTTTTGTAAATGCTAGTGTCTATGCTTATGACTATTATATTATGATACATATACGCAGTCTAGCACGAGAATCATTTTACGAATGATAAGGCTAAATGTAAAAAAAAAAGTACCGATATGTGTAAATGTGTAGATGTGCATAGTGTTTCATATCGTGCTGGTTCATAGAAAATCTTTTATCATTAACATACTTGATCCGCGTTTCCCGAAACTATCACATTACTTATTGCCGTTGATGTTTTTAACAAGTGCAAAAGTGTAAATAAAAAGTTTCTTGTGAAGAAAACAGTGAAACACGTACGATACTCGGCATCGTAAAATAATACTTTCTCGGGAAAAAAAAAAAAATCTCAGATATTGTTATACATAAATTAGCAATCATCACTGAGATGTATAGCACTTTCTCGGCCCGTTGATGTATTATATTGTCTACTAATCTAATTCCTTATTTAATACATCCTTTAAATTTCTAGACTGTCAATTATTTATGTATTACAATTTTTAGATTTTCTTATATTTCAACACATATCCTTCGACCTTCAGCTATAGCAAATCTGTTTCCCCAATGATGCGATCAAGAAGGTGCTAATACATCGCTCAACACTGTTCATTGCTTCAACGCACACAGCATAACAATCTAAATTCATTGAAAATTGCATCGGCGGTCTGCTGTTTCGTGCCGAACGTGCTTGTCATTCGTGCGATTGGAATAATGCCGTAGCGGCGCGTACACTTCGTGTTTAATTAAAGTAACGTTAACAAATTGAAGACAATGGAGTTCTAGTTTTTTGATAAATGAAGCTAACGGGAACGTCACTTCCCGGAGTAGTGCGAGCCGATGTTGGACGGCGGGCCTCTGTGATGATGATGATGCTTCTGTCCGGGCCCGGAGTATCTGCTTCCTGGTCGGGAGTGCACTATCGCGTAGTGATCGCTGTTCGTCGATATCGACCTCGTGGAATTCATCGTGGATCCCCCGGAGGCGTATCCTTGCTTTCCGTTCAACGAGTACCTGAGCACAAGAAAGGTCCCGTTCAGGCACGCCATCGCATGCGTCATGATGCGCAGTCCGCGATATTAATTGCCATCATCGTGACTCCGCTCCGCGCTCAAGTATGACTTTATACTTAGAAAGTTCACAATCAGTACCTCCCATTTTCTCTCCCGAGAGCCCCGAGACTCTCCGTAACGCACGCTTTCGAATTCTTCGTGCGTAATTACAGTTGTAGAAAGAAAAAACGAGTAAAAAAAAAAAAAAAACATAAATCAATTACCGCATTGCACTTGATCTGACAACGATACATTAGCTTATCGACTAACCGGCTCGAATCGCTCAGATCAGTGTCGAACTTGGTTCGGCAAATGACGTACAGTTATACACGCGTAATCATACATTATTGGCGCAATTAATAGAGATACTTTGTCGGCGAGTCACGCGATGCGCTTTGAGGAGGTAATTAAGTCAAACCTCGACCCGTATTGAGAACCGTGCCAGCTGCGGTACGGATCGTAATCCTCGATGATCGACGGCTCCTTCTCGATAATGTCGGTCCGAGTGCAGCTGCAGGTCATCGCCGAACACAGGAATATATTGATAATGAGCATGATGAGGAATAATATCCCGAGCGCCACCGCCAGCCACAGGAGCCACAGCGGGTGCACGCCGTCATCGTACAATGCTTGTAATACTGCGAATAAAGAAACTACTATGTAAACTCTTGTATTGCGATGCACGCTCGTATACTCATAAACGCTACGTGCGCTGTACGTGCGGGGAAACCCGTTGATTACAGAATTGGATCGCGACGAAGAAATTACACTTGTTCAAACAATGTGCCGCACGATAAAAAAGAAAAAAAAAAAAACAGAAACGTTCAATAAGTATTAATAAAGTCGAGCGAGATAGTTGAAAGAAAATGATACCGTAATTTTTTTTCAATGATAAACATCGCTTTGAATAATCCTTCTTATCGCTAACATATGATTTAATCATCTTGAAATAATTATTAATTTCGTCATTGAAAGACTATTGCGCTGTCTCGCTTAAACGCGGGATTCGGCGAGATAAGAAAATATCTTGTTTAACTTCTGCAAATCGAGGTGATTAATTTAACGACGCAAGTTCGCAGGAGTGTCGTTAAACCGACCGGTATTGAAAATTATAGCGTGGGACTGCCCACTGGGCGGATTGTAAAGAAAAAAAAAAAACTCTAACCGAAGCACAAAATGTGATAAGCGGAATAAGATCGTTTTGTGCCGGCCTGAGTACACATTATAATTTGATGACAGTCTCAATAGGTTTGCGTGTCGAAGCGACATCCAAATACGGGTCAGAACGACGCTGGGGTATGGCAG